AGTCGCAGATAGACACAGTAGAAAAATACGACTTTCTCATATCTAAACATCTACAGTACAATACTACTGTTATTTAATATCAAAATTGTCTTTTTTTTTCATTCGAACCATTTCCATTGACTGACATTTGATAGTCATTCTTAAAAAGTTGAACTGGTTGTTTATAATAATTTGTGACTCGCTGGTTTAATCATCAAAACGAAGAAAAAAAAAGAACACATATTTGCGTATGATATTACTGAGAATAGATCAAACGTGATTCTGTAGGAATGTCGAAGGAGAGAACGGTTAATTGAACATATCATTACAAAAGTAACAGATTAAAAAAAAAGGAAAGGATATACTCATGATTGTATAATATATCATCATAATAATGTCATAATATCAAGATATCAAAATGTATTTAAAAAATATCATGAGAGGTTTAAGCATACTTAATAGACATAAGTTCTATGACGATGGCAATTGAATAGGGGATATGGTTTAATAAAGTGGCACTATACGTGACCTCCCAAATTCATGCCTACTCAATTAAAACTCTCAAATCTTATGTATAACGAACTAAATTGTACATCATAATTACAAAGGTTCCTATGGTAAACAATATAAAATGCATGGATTCATCATAAAGTATCCCGATTCGAGATTTCCCGTTTATTTTGTACTTGAAACCGTCGACATGGCCTCCGAAGATTGTCGATGATTATCTGACCCGGATATAACTAGAAAATTATTACAAATATAGACGCGAATTATAAGGTTTACACGTGCATCGATTGTATATTGACGAATATCCTAGTTCTGTTTGATTTCATATCATAGAAAAAAATAATGTAAACAATCGTTTTACTTGCACAAGTTTTTTTTTTTGGTGGCCAAATCAGCCAACATTAATTAATCAATCTTCCTGCAGACTTCTAGAGTTTTACTTTTCAGCTAACAATCTTTTCAATAACTGACCATGCTGACCACATGCGTAATCTTAAAATTGAGGTCACTTTATAGGTTGCATGCATACGGATAAAAAATGTGAACGAATTAAGGAATGTATCGGCACAGTTTTTTTTTAATCTTATTTTGACAAAATTGTCCCAAACCGACTAGTAATAGCAAATTAGATCTATTATTTATTTTTTCGTTCGTATATAAGTTTGCAACCAAACAGACATATTTAATTATTTTAACTTAAACTGTCAAAATTGTCGTATGTTTTAATGCACGATAAATAATTCCTTGGCAGCACAACCCGAAGCATAGGAACAGAGCTTTTATTTCGATTTTTCTCTCTTTGAATAGCAGTGAGGCCTCAGTCAGCCTGGATCAAAAGATCGAACCTACTAAGTAATTGCAAGTTTAAGACGGCTCCCAACGTGGGTTTGATTGGAATTTTTTGCTAGATATCGATAACGCTATATCCATGCATTGAAGTATAACGGATATCCAGTATCAACAAATAAGTCAATTCAATATTTGACCATTAAAATTCAACATATAGCGCCGTTTTTTTATTGTTACGCTTTCTTAAACAGTGTGTCCCATCGCTATGATAAAGTACATACACATATACATTTTGATTATGAAGATGGAATACCGATTCAAACAGAGTACTAGTCTTAAAAATGACACGCCAGACGCACATTTTGTTTTCATTAGACTCAACAGTGGCGCTTGAATCAAAACAGTTGAAAGGGCAATTCATACGAAGTTGAAGATATATATAAAAATAAGAATATGTGGTATGATTGCCAATGAGAGCAATGAAGAGCATTGAATACAAAAAATTACGAAAAGTTGGTCAAAACAAGGCGGAGTATATCTATGCCTGGGGGTATAATAACCTAAGTGTTTCAATAAAACAGGTGATAATATTAGATGGTCGATATAGTGGGGGCCAGTGATTAACTTAAAATGTCTCTCGTAAGTTGAGAAACTGTGACTCTACATCGTTTAACAAATTCGAGATGGCGACTTGAGGGCTTGTTAAGTGGTTATATCGTTAGTTGTTCTTCGTAAAATATCATTCTTGGAGTAGTTTTAGTTCGTTACTGAAATAACCTTAATAACAACATAAACAGTTTTAAATTTTATTTCAGGATATTGATTCTTCTATAGGTTTTCTCAGGTATGGCGTTAATTTTTTTAAATTAAACGCAGAAATCTTATAAATTCGGAAACACTTCAACTTAAAGGATGCGCTAGGTGTTGAATTTCTTTATGCAAATATAATTACACCAACTTACGTGAAAGCAAACCTATCATGATATCTCAAGTGTTGAAAAAATATTAAGGTTGACGGTTTGATGGAAAGGTTTATTATTTATATAAAAAGTACTTATAAAAAACAACATACACAACAGTGTTCATATACATGTTCATCCTATCTGAATACAACAGTGCTCATATACATGTTCATTATATCTGAATACAACAGTGTTCATATACATGTTCATCCTATCTGAATACAACAGTGTTCATATACATGTTCATCCTATCTGAATACAACAGTGTTCATATACATGTTCATCCTATCTGAATACAACAGTGTTCATATACATGTTCATCCTATCTGAATACAACAGTGTTCATATACATGTTCATCCTATCTGAATACAACAGTGTTCATATACATGTTCATCCTATCTGAATACAACAGTGTTCATATACATGTTCATCCTATCTGAATACAACAGTGTTCATATACATGCTCATCCTATCTGAATAAAATTGTAAATTTCGTCTCCAACGAAATATTTTACATTGATATGTTTGCAACAACAAAAAATGATTGTTGGTCGTGGTTTATCGTGGTTTAAAAGTTAAAAAAAGTACCCTGCCAAATTTCCGTCATACTAGACGGTGAATATTTACTAGTAGACAAGGAAAATGTTAGCATTTACATCACATCAGCTTAGGTAATAGAACGGTTCTTATCTTCCTTGTGATAGGAACATCATTCGCATAGCACGAGGAGCTAAATGTCCTCATCACTGTCTAGTTGGAATTTCCAAACGTTTTGTCATAGCTCAAACGTGAATCGATTTTGGTCAGAACCAATTAATTGATGCTTATTTACACCAGGTGGCAAATATTAATTGCATATTTTTTTTTTTAATATGTAAACTTTTTTTTCAACAAATAAAGCCGTTGGTTCTCTTGTTTGAGTTGTTTTGAATATTGACATGTTGGGGGCTTTTATAGTTTGCTATGTGGTATGGGTTTTTCTCATTGTTGAAAACCGTTCGGTGAACTATATTTGCTTACATCTAAATCAGTTGGTCTCTGCTGGATAGTTGTCTCAATGACAATCATACCAAATCTATTTTTATGCAAGTTACTAACATAACACAATCGCTTGTATATACTTAATCATGAAGAAAGGAATCATCATTCTCTTACATATACTAGTGATTGAAAGCAATGTTGGCCTTCGTTCTTTTGTTATTTACAAATTAATTAATTAATTATAACTAGACGTACCTTCCCTTTTGATTGTTTCATACTATTATCAATACAGATTAATACAGAATTGATAAATATTGTACATATATTGATTATATAATTATACGCTTTTTGACTATCCGAAATGGCTAAACCATTTTTCTCAGATGTTTTCAACAAAATAAATTTTAATTGGTTTTCATTTTACCCATACACAAGTTGTCTACAGATATTTGCATAAAAATATAATGACAAACAAAATGAAAAAAACGCTCCAATGAGACAACAACACAACACTGAGTCACTCATGATTCAATTTTGAAAAAAAGTAAATATACACAGGGTTTTAGTTTTGAGCATGCATGCGCGCACATTCAATAAATCATACACCGCACATATTGACCCTTGTTGATCTATAGTCAATCTGACTCACTCTGATTTGCTCCTCAACAATGAAATTAAAAAATAAAACATGTTCAACAAAAGCAAACGTACGAAACGGGTGTACTGAACACAAATGAATTAAACATAAATTTATGAAGCGAACATTTCTAAACCGTTAGGCAATACGAACTGCCGTTAAAACCTATAGTGTTATCAGACAAATATTGTACGATATTAGTATAAATGGTTATGATTATATTTCTTCGTCTGAAATGAGACCTTCCATAAAACAAGAAAATCATAATTCTTGGAAGAAACATTTATCAAAATCTTTCTAAAGGGATTTTTTTTTCAAAGGAAATTTGCCAGCGTACCGTGAAAACATTGATATTACTTAGTAATAATATAACACACAGACGTAAATCCCACTCCTCAATATGTCTGGGAAACTATTTCCAGTTCATAAAATTGTTACACAATCTATCGTTAACATGTTTTCTACATCATATTAATGCATGGCTATAATATGCTGCGTATATGAATAGAAATGATACAATTCAGATTAACTTTTCAACCCACTTTCTTCTATATTTTCGTCCGATATGATATGGCAATGTATTTGGATTTCAATGCGTCTGTCATTTTGTGAACGAAATTCAACGAATTTCCTTTTTATTTATTGATAAGTATATCTTCTTTGATCAATATTTCCCTTTCAGTGTAAACTCACAAAATCTGTTTTCTTTAATCCTATTTAAAATGTAACTTTCCAGATTTGGATTACAAATTACGGACCAATAACGGTTTCTTTAAAAATTCCCTTTTTACACTGTGCAGTATTTTACTCTATTTACCATTAATTGTTCAATGCATTCCAACTTGCCCTCTAGTCCTTTTTTTGGGCTTACAACTGTTTTATTACTTTGTCAAATTAAACAAATAAATCCTTTCTCGTCTTTATCACCATAAGAATCTCGTCAAGTTCATGTGTAAATTTGTTAGTAAAGGATTAAAATTAATAATAAAAAGATATGTTTGAATTTGCGTTAACGTCAAGCTTATGAAGCGAATGTTTAATACGACTCGACTGTAATACTATACAAAACCAATGTACCAATAAAATTTAAACTGAGAAAAATAGTGAAAAAATATAAAGATATAAAAGAAACAAGACTTACCTTGAAAAATAAAAAAAATTACACAATTCCACATCTCGATAAAAAGTTCCTTTATCTATAGACTCAAATTTGTTCAAAATATAAAACCGGACACATAAAATGAATTTCCCTCGAAGTTACATATTATCAAGTTAAATATATGTCTTCTTTCCATTTCCTGTTAAAATACAGCAATTCAAAATGTAATTGATAATTGTTTGGCTCATTGGACCATAAACAACGACTGTACCCATTTAACATATCCAAAACAATCTATATAATATCTACATTACAATATATGTAAACAGTTTCATTGTTTATACTATGGATAACTTTTCAATTTGAAATAAATCTCCGCTTCGTTTCATTTACAAGTCAAGAATATAATTTTCCTTCTTAATCATTATAATCAATAAAAAAAAGTTATCTATTTAATGAATTACTTTCACAGTTTATCACGTAGAGCCAATATCCCAAGGTAATTCAAATATTCTTTTCGTGAATTATTAATAATTTTAATTATGATTAAACGTAAAGTCGTAAACAAACTGATTTTGCCTAATTTGTTCTTTAATTTTTATAACCATTGCGGATACATTGGGTCACAGAAGGTGCAAAATGATTATAGAAATTGTACATACATATTTTTACAATCATTTGTATACAATACAGTGGTTAACATATTTTATAAACTTACATAATCTGTTATAATCTGAATATATACATAAGTCTTAACTACACTTTAATTGTCAACAAAGAAAATGAATGCATTTAACTGAGCTGACTGATCTGGCATTTAATATATTATATATGATGAATATATATAAAAAGGAGGAGATGTGGTATGCTTGCCAATAAGACAACTACCCACCAGAGTTAAGATGAAGTGGTAGGAAGCAGTTAAAGGACTCTGTCATACATATGATACTGTGAAACTCAAATCGGAAATGTTGGTCAGACCTGGAGTCTATAAAAGGCCCCGTTATAAAAAAGAACGAATGGCCTAATCAAAAAATATCTTATCTCATCTTATCTTCTCTTAACAAATTAATAAACGAAAACCAAATATGACTACAATGAACCAACGACAACCATCAAACTACAGGCTACTTACTTGGGACAGGCACATAAAGAATGTGGCGAAGTTAAACATGTTTGTGAGCCCTCTTGAAACCCTTGGAAGTTCCCCTAACCTGGGACAGTGGTGTAAAAGCACCACACAAGAACATCAAAGTTAAACTTATGACATATTAAAAAAGCGAAAAACGAAATCAACCTGATAATGTGCTGGTGATGAGTGTCCTGGTACTGCACACCTGTGTTTTTTTTATTAGAATATAAAATAGCAAAATATTCATATTCAAGATCATTGGTGCAGAAAATGTGTATAATTGATTGTAAAGACACTTAGCATACATTTGGTGGCTGCATTACTTTTGATGAGCAAAAAGATTTTGTACATTTTCAAATTTTTAATAATGAAAATTAATATGCATATAATTGACAGGTGCATGACCAATAAAAGACTAACCGTGCCACGTATTAGTCCGCTAAATCTATGAACTTGTTGGCATAACAAATAAAAAAGCATCCAGCTGATACAAAAAAAAAATAATTCCTTGAATCAATTTGTCTAAAAATAATTAGATGATTTATTATATGGCTCGAAGTTTTAAATTTGAAGGAATACATCTGTACTACTAAAATAACGAGGTCCAATTTGTTAGCCGTCTTGACGTAAAAAAGACGAACCATAGAATTCAACTTTATATATAACTAATATAGGACAATGGTTTTGTTTAAAAATTACACCATTCCAGGCCCTTTTGTTTTCAACATAATTAATATTACCAATAATTAACAAGTTCCGTGTCGAATCCGATCCCGATACCAATAGTATATGTCACATGTAGTTTCCGGTTGTACTTACCTGTTACCTTTTGTAAATCCCTCCTCTATCAGGAAAACCTTGAATTCTTCCAGTAGTTGTTTTATATGTGGGTCACATTAGGGTCTAAGCGAGACGCGGGATTGCTCGATTTTTTATAAGCGTGACTCGAGAAAGTCAAATCAATGTGCTTTAAAACGGGAAACGAAGTCGGGTGGGATACGTGAAATTGCAAGCGTTATTATTACAATGACAAGCGTGATAGAATCTGACATAATAATAAGCGGTATCAGGGATTACCCCCTCCCAATGAGACCCCCTTATATCTATGTTACACTATAGTACACTATTTAACAAGTCTGTTTTCTTCCACCTCAATACCACTATTAATTTTGGTTAATTAGTTAAAAAAAATAGTTTATAATAAGTTTATTATAGTAAGAAAAACCAGGACGGGTTTAAACAAAGATTCTGAAAGTATGCAGAGAAAACTGTGCACCTTACGATCAGCATGACTTTATCAGATGACAATACGAATACTAAAATTACAGGCAAAAAATAAGGCATAAGTATTTTAATTCAGTCATGGACCCGCGATGTCGCGGCTGTGTTCTAGTTTCTTTTAAAATTATTGGCCTAAAAAGAAAATTAATGAATATGCACGATAATGTGATATCATCGTGTAGAAGGGACGGTGGGTCGGGGTTCCAGTACGATTTAAAAAAAAATGTTTTACTCTATGCAAAATTTCAGGCAGTAAATTGGATGCGGCTTTAGTATCCTAGATCTCGTTTCTCTGGCAAAAAGGTTAGTTCCGTGGTGTTAATTTTCTATTTATTCAACCAAATGAATTTCAATGTCTTGATCCCGCACGTACGGAATACGTGTCTTCCGCAATTAACATAAAAAATGAAGAGACAACCATAGGAGGTCGAAAACATATAAATCATTAACCTATGCTGGAAAATATTAACAGGTATCATTTTAGCTCATCTCATCCGAAAGGCCATGAGAGCTATTGCCATCCCATAGCACCCGTCGTCGTCGTCCCTCGTCAACTTTAAAAAAGATCTACTTTCTTCTGAAATTACTTGACAAAATCTGTGCAAATAATACCTGAATGTTCCCTAGTGAATCTAATTAAAAATCCTATCCGGTTCTTGATCCTTCAAAAACATGTCGGCTGTTGGTAAAAACAGAACATAGGGGGCAAAGCTGCTCTTTTGGCTTACATCTCAAATACTAAAGTGCCGGTTAGAACAATTTTCAGAAAAATCTGATGACCCATTAAAAGTTATGCTCCCTGAAATGTCTATCTAAGCAAATTTTGTAGTTTCTTTGTATTATCTTGAAAACTTTCAAAGATAGAGAGAAAATTTTGGTGGTAAAGATAACCAAAATATTAAGATTAGCAAATTAGTCAAATTGCCATAATCGTCAGTTGACTCCTTATAAGGGAGATCATTTCGTTATATGCTGTTATCAAATACACTTTGATTTGACCTAGCCAGTTATTGAACGCACGATCTCCGTACTCGAGGCGAGCACACTATCCCGAGATAATTGATGCGATTAGATATGAATAAAAAAATAAAATTGCATGTTTTTAAAGTCGTACTTCACCTCTTTGGTGTGTCAAAATAATATAAACAAATGCAATACCAAAGACTCAATTAATAAATTTGAGTTACTTTCCTTTGTACATAGGAAAGACCATAGTTTCATTATATGTTAAATTTCAACTATATTTAGATTTAATATTATGTATAGTCCGAGTCTAATGTTAGAGCTAATTCAAATAAAAATAAACCAAATGCCCCTTTTCTCCAGTTGGAGTAATTAAGCAACGGTGTGGCCGAGGACAAATTCATTCAACTCTGTGTTTTCTGATATCGGACATGCGGACTTCTGGTTTATTTTCTATAATTCATACTCAATATTTTCTGACACTTTCTTAAATTTATTCATGATTTAGTAATTCACTGTCTGTTTCTAAAACGTGTGAAAAAATTAAAGGGATCATGATAATTTACGTAAGCCAGTTCATTTCTTGCTTTAATCCGTTAATGTTTTTTTATCGTATATTTATAATCAGTTCTTGTCCCGGACGTGTATAATAACAGCGACATTAATCCGTTTTCCAATCATCGACTTGTGTTACTCTTAAAGTTTTAAGTGTATGTTTTGTAAACTTTCTCAGTTTTATTATTAAATACTCTTAACTTTTTTGGCAACCTGTACACATTATCTTTTATTATTTATAATTTGTTGACTGAAGTTAAGTCTTCAGTCTGATGCAGCCTTCCGAACTGACACTATCCGTTATCCCAGATGTTTGTTAATACCCAACAACAAATTGGCAGTATTTGGCCACAGACTTTAATATTATTTAAATTCATACATATTGTATATAAGTAATCTCAATATAAATGTATGTATGTGCCGCAGATCGCTGGCAATTTAACTGTCACTGGTACATCTGAAAATATGAGGTTACCGGCATATCGCTGATTATGGCAACCGTACTATCAAATATATATATATAAATGACTACCACAGATTGTGGTAACTGAATATAAGATTAAAACAATTTGGATCACCGTAGGAACACAGGTGATGGATCAAAACCCTTACATTGTTCATCTGTAGTGAATGATACTATTTATAAAACGAAATGTTTTTTGATGCAGCGAATTCTGCCAGATTGACATTGAAACCAGACCTTGGTTACAATGTCAACCGCCATAAAGGGGGGGGTGTCGCTGCCAGGCTGTGTGCCAAATACATTAACCAATAATCAAAACATTTCAAACTTAAATTATAAAGTGACGTCAATAACTGAAAAATAAAAAATCTTTTTTTTTAAACTATACAAGCTAGATAATTAATCATATATATATTATTAGTATATTATACTTACTAATGCCTTATGCATGAGCAACAAATCACCTTAGGTCGATATAAGAAAATTGTAAGAGAACTTAAAGTGTGTGTAAAGTTTGCAAAATTTAGATGATGAGGAACACTTTGTCCTTCATTGCCAAATCAGCAGTTATATTAGAAATCCCCTTATGAATACAATTCAACCCATTATCCTAATTTCAACCAGCTTAAACCAAACTGTAAACTATTCTAGATCCAAATCAAGATATTTGTCTAGTGTTGTTGCTATATAATAAAAGCAATCCATGGAGTTGCGAAAATAAGGTCTACATTGGTCAATTACCTATTATACTTATATATACAAATGTATATTATTAATATAAACTTGACTTGTTTAGAACTTTTTTCATGTATTGTATGTTTCTTGTATACATGGATATTATGTTTGCATTTTAACCCGTCAGGGTTTTATTTTTTGCAATTAAGTTATGTATTAAATATATATATATATATATTTATTGTTTCACAAATGACAGATGTACCCCATCGATTTTAATATCTTTTCACTTCTGGAAATGTCTCAAAATCTCCAACAA